TTTTGATAAAGGGTTTTGCCATGGTTACTAAAAGTAAAAGTCTCTTTAAAATTCTTTCAAAATGGTTCGCCTGAAGTTTTAGCTGATTTAAATATTAATACTTAGTACACAACTAGACTATACTTGTATATATACTTATACACAATTCTGTCAGTTTTTGATTATGATGATTGATGTTGGCATGGTACTAAAAAAAGAAATGTCTGTACTTTATGCAAAATTCTTTCAGAACTTTACTCCTCCCACAGTTTTGGTCAGATTTCAATGAGACTTGGTACACAAATAGACTATAGTAAGATACATCTTTCTTTATACATGTAATAATTAAGTACACACCAGTAAAGCTACAGTCTCATCAGAGACTTCTGGTTTTATTGGGGTTTTTTATGAACCCAGCATGTTGATGGATAGAATATTGAATTCTTTTAGGAAATTAGTTCTCTGTAACAATTGGCACTCTTTTTTCCTCAACAACCAAACACATTGAGCCACTTCAAAGGTGCTGCTTTTTGTGCTAGGTTGTGGATGATAGGAAATAAATTGCCCTGCAAATACAGGCGACCCTACAGAGTGAAGGTCAAGGTGATTTAATATCAGACATTGATCAGTTTTTGATGAAAGGCAGCAAGTCTTTTTTTTTGTAGTAGTTTGCCTCAGAATTGTCACCCATGCAGTCTATTTTAATCTTATGAATAAATATGAAGTTATTGAATTAATGAATCCAATATTTGTTTTTCTTTTTGTCTCTTTGTACCTACAGATGCATTTTCCATTCATTGACCAGTCTGACTGTATCCATTCATTGACAAGTCTGGCTATATCCATCTACCTGTCTGGTTATATCCATTCAATGACCAGTCTGGTTATTTCCATCCAGTGACCTGTCTGGCTGTATCCATTCAATAATCAGTCTGGCTATATCCATTCAATAATCAGTCTGGCTATATCCATTCAATAATTAGTCTGGCTGTATCCATTCAATAATCAGTCTGGTTGTATCCATTCAATAATCATTCTGGCTGTATCCAATCAATAATCAGTCTGGATATATCCATTCAATAATCAGTCTGGCTGTATCAATTCATTGAGTATAATGATATCCATTCATAAATGGCTATTGCATTAGCTTCTTTCATGATTAAGATTTTAACTCTTTAGTTTCTGTATCATGGTTCCTATCATTTAGGGTTTTACATCCTTAAGATCATATGTTTTGACCACTTTAAGTAGAATTGATCTGCAAAATTTGTCACTTGTGTTTTTCTGAATATAGTTTTTTTTTTTTTTTTTTAATTTTGATTAAGAATCAGGTTGACTTACTGGTAATTGAGTTCTGACTTGAGATAAGATAGGCCGTATCTGCCATCGGTTAAATTGATGAAACAGCAAATAAGGAAATATAATTTATAGGGTGGATCTAGATGGTGTGTGAAACAGAACAGTCAGCCAATATTACATATGATTCTTTTTTTTCTGGATGATGAAAGTCTAGCAAGACTTAAAGGACTTGTCGCATGTTCCTAAATTATTTGAAATTAAAAGCGTAAAACGTTCCTTATGACCACAGTTTATAAATTTTGTGTTTTTACTGCGGATAAACCACCGTAATTAACCAATTATTGACTCAAAAGTAAACCCCTGAATTAAAAATCTAGATAGCGATCACGTGACCCTGTGACATCAAAGGCGACAATGGCTGATCAGCTCTTCAGGTAAATCTTACTAAAATATACGCAATACAACCTGAATTTTCTGCGTTATGGACGACCAAATCACTAATATTATTGATATGAAATTTAATATCAAACCTTATATTTTAGAAATATCAGCAAGAAATAATCTGAAAAATTCGTTAACATTGTAAAAATAGCAGCGATGATAGCGAGGGAGATGCGGCAAAGACGAAGAAACTCGCCATAACAATACAATTTGATTTGTCATTTTATTACATGTATGAACTTATTTGATTCACAAATTTAAATTAAATAACTTTGTTATTCTTCTTTTTTAACATAATATTAATTTATGCAAGTATGCCTTCATATTTTTTGTAAAGGATGGCGGTCTTGAAAAATGAATTTCCGATCACGAAACATTGCCGTAATCAGACCTACAGATTCTAAATGTTTCGAATAAAAAATGAAAATATCTCAAAATTCTTACACCTTAGAACTAGTTAATGTTTTTAAAATAATTGAAAATCACGTTAGGAATTAATTTTTTCAGCATTTTTCATAATTAAGCTGCATTTGTCATTGATATCTCCGTAAATAGTGTGGAACTTCTCATCTCTCTATCACTGAATTGTCGCCTATGACGTCAGAGCAGTATTTCACCGAAATCCGACTGAAATATGCATATTGCCGTATTTGAATTTCAACTCTCAATATCTCTTAAAATATGCTTCCAACAACATTTATTGTATTCAGAATTTTAATAAACAAGGTTGTAGATAATATTTTTCATAAAATTAAGATTTTTGAAAAATCATGCGATAAGTCCTTTAAGAGAAAAACAGTTAAGATTGATGTATCATAATTTCTCTGTTTTACACCTCAGTGCATCGCTAGGATTCATTGGTGCACTGTAGGGCATTGATGACTTTATTAAATTTGTTCTGAAGGAAGTGTCCTTTGATGATGACTAAAATACATCTAACAAAAGACAGTAGCCAATATCCATGATTTATAGGAAGTTCAAGGCCCCACTATTTCTGTGGAAAAAGAAGTTAAAAAAATGTCAGCAAATTCTTTTTAGTGCCAAAAACTTCTTTTCTGTAGAGAAACATGCCTGGTGTTTTGAGAATAAAAAAAATAACAGCAAAAATGTCTGGTCAGTGTTTCATCTTTTGTGTATGAAAACAAGGCATAAATTGGTGATGAGTAAAGAGAACAAAGTATTTAATGGTTGGCTGCATTTTGGAATTAGCCAAAATTTTAGTTTCAAGGCTTCTCTCATGCTGTTTGATCAGAGGGTCTTGAAGATGAATTCTTTTTCATGGTTTATTGATGAATATGGCACACAAACTGTCAATTCAATCTATAGGTTGATTTCAAGCAGAAATATAAATAGGGGGCATTCTGAACAGGAAATTCAGCAGAACAATGAAAAAATGAAACACATGTCTAATTCATTGTGCCAACTGCCAGACTAGAGATGACCTCTGAACCTTTGACCCAAGTGATTTGTTAGAATTTTTGTTTGAACAATGATTTTTTTTATCTCCCATTCATGAATAAAATAAAAGGAAAAATTGTGCAATGAAAATTCTGCCTTTTAATTTGTGCTTTAGAATTTACTTCAAGTCCAATAATTGATTACTTTCCTTGTTATTTGACAGGAAACTATATTGAGGAAAGAGAGATCAAAAGTTGGTTAACAATTTTTCATTTGAAACTTCTCATAAGCATGAAAACTTTTGCATATTTGACTTTTCTTGTTCAAAGAAAGATAACTCTTGCTGTCCATGAAGAATTGACAGAACTAATTTTCACTAAACCAGATGGTAGCAGAACTTTATACACCCTAAATGCCAAAGTTCATCAGAATTTTTCATGAAAAATGAAAAGTAAATTTTCCCTTCGTGTTAATTCAGAAATTTGGCCCAGATGGAGTCAATTGAGAGGTATTTAATTTTCATGAAATGTAGAAAATTGTGTTAATTACCTCTCAACTTTGAAGAAATCATCTTTAAATCTTTACTCGGTTTTATAAGCAAGACCCTAGGATTAATTATCTTTTCTGCTTCTAGAAAATAAAATTTTTTGCCTTAAATCATGTGGATGAATGGATAGATTTCATTCTTGGCTTCATCTTGAATTTCTTTGAAGAATACATTTTTGAATAGCAATACTTGTGCCAATGGGAATTTTATTAATGGTGCTTAAGTACAAATAAAAATAACCTTAACTAAATCATGATGTTGTATGTATATTCTTCTAGGACAGGCACCTAATTTTTCTTTTTCAACTTTTGAAATAGTTGTCAAAATCCAAGATTTTAAGCAGACAGCTTGCACTTTTTTTCATTTTCGTTTGTTGTTTTACACATGAAGGCAGCTGATGCCACGAATAAAGAGGTCATCAGTGAAAACGTCAGTGCTGTGTTTTGAGTTTATAACCATCTGTTTTAAATGAGTTTCTTTTAAATATTTATCCCTCTTTAAAACATATGCTTCTAATTTGTGCAACACAGGTAGCGGTTTTTGTGGGAGGGTGGAGATAAAAAATTTTCAGTAGATGCCATTGTATAGAAGGACAAGATCATGGTTTCAAAGAATTTTCCTGCAGTCTTGTACATTCTCTTGATAAAACAATTATTTGAAAAAAAAAAAAATTAAGCTCATTAATTTACACATATAATAATTCTGCAAAAACCATACTTGATTTTATTATTGGGGGGAGGGGGGTATTTTGTCTCTCTTTCTTTATGAAGTAAAGAGAAATAGGGAAGAATCTTCAAGTTCCTTCTGAAATTTCAGAAAGAACTATATGCAGTAAAGGCATATTTTTGCCCCTTAACAGTTAAATTTCAAAAGTCTCTTGAAATGTGCACATTTTTATATACTGTATAAAAAAGATCTGAATTTAGCTTAATGTACATGTATTATAGATTGGAGGAAGGTTATTGGCAGTTTTTATCTCTGACATCACAAACTAAGTGGAAATTCCATTATTTTTCCGAAAGAAAATATTGACAAAATTTATTCAATTTTGACTGTAGCATTTCAGGAGCATAAACTTGCTTGGGTACAATATTCAAATATTTCATTAATATTTAATATTAATGAAATCTGCAGATAACCCCTATTTTAAAACATATTAAAAGATTTCTCCATCAGAGTTTGATTTTAAGGACAGATATTGGCATTTACAGAATTTATTCCTTAAGTCTGTTTTTACTTTCTTTGTAATATCATATGTGCTATGATTTAAAAACAACATCACTACAATTTTATATTTTCTGAAATGCAAGAAATTACATATTTTAATGTGTTCTAGGGTGGAGATGCCAGTGAAGTTAGTACCCCTGCTGGAGGTGCCCCAGTTCCCCCACCCCCAGGACCACCTCCACCCCCTCCCCCACCAGCAGTTCAAGCTCCACCCCCCTCCTCTGGGCCCTCCGAGGATGACGCCAGGGCAGCTTTAATGGAAGCTCTTAACAAGGGAACAGAAATTACTGCTGGTTTGTACTACACTTTATAAAGTAAACTAATATTGATGAAATATGTTAGAAAACTGAATATTCACTTTATCATTCATATATTTTATTTATTTTATTTTACCCATGCACATACAAGTAATTTTTTTTTAGTGAAAGCTTATAGTATGTTGTTCATTCACTTCATTCCTCCCTGATTCTGTTTTCAAATATTAGAAGCATAAAACACATTATCTACAGGAAAATGAAACATGGTAGAATCATTTTAGAAAAAAAGTTGTGTGTTTGTTTTCACCACTTTTTGGACACAGATTGATTTCTAACACTTTATACAAGGTACTGAAGCTAGAATCAATTAGGATACAAATTATTAAAAACTAAGACACCATTATAAAGCAGGGACACTTCTGTTATTTAAACATAAGACACCAAGACATTTCAAGACACACCTCTATAATTCAGAAGTAAGACATCTCTGATTCTTACACAAGCCATCTCAGATTCTGACAAAGACATGTATGATTAAGAAGCTAGACATCTTTGATTCTAACATAAGGCATCTATGATTCTAATATAAGACAGTGATTGATAGATTCTAACATAACATGCGTCTTTGATTCAGAACTAAGACATCTGATTCTAACAAAGACACTTGTATGATTCAGAACTAAGACATCTGATTCTAACAAAGACACTTGTATGATTCAGAACTAAGACATCTGATACTAACAAAGACACTTGTATGATTCAGAACTAAGACATCTCTGATTCTAACAAAGACACTTGTATGATTCAGAACTAAGACATCTGATACTAACAAAGACACTTGTATGATTCAGAACTAAGACATCTGATTCTAACAAAGACACTTGTATGATTCAGAACTAAGACATCTCTGATTCTAACAAAGACACTTGTATGATTCAGAACTAAGACATCTGATTCTAACAAAGACACTTGTATGATTCAGAACTAAGACATCTCTGATTCTAACAAAGACACTTGTATGATTCAGAACTAAGACATCTGATTCTAACAAAGACACTTGTATGATTCAGAACTAAGACATCTGATACTAACAAAGACACTTGTATGATTCAGAACTAAGACATCTCTGATTCTAACAAAGACACTTGTATGATTCAGAACTAAGACATCTCTGATTCTAACAAAGACACTTGTATGATTCAGAACTAAGACATCTGATACTAACAAAGACACTTGTATGATTCAGAACTAAGACATCTGATTCTAACAAAGACACTTTTATGATTCAGAACTAAGACATCTGATTCTAACAAAGACACTTGTATGATTCAGAACTAAGACATCTCAGAACTAAGACATCTCTGATTCTAACAAAGACACTTGTATGATTCAGAACTAAGACATCTCTGATTCTAACAAAGACACTTGTATGATTCAGAACTAAGACATCTGATTCTAACAAAGACACTTGTATGATTCAGAACTAAGACATCTGATACTAACAAAGACACTTGTATGATTCAGAACTAAGACATCTGATTCTAACAAAGACACTTGTATGATTCAGAACTAAGACATCTGATTCTAACAAAGACACTTGTATGATTCAGAACTAAGACATCTGATACTAACAAAGACACTTGTATGATTCAGAACTAAGACATCTGATTCTAACAAAGACACTTGTATGATTCAGAACTAAGACATCTGATTCTAACAAAGACACTTGTATGATTCAGAACTAAGACATCTCTGATTCTAACATTAGACATCTCGGATTTTAACATAATGTGTCTGTGATTCAGAAGTAAAATATTTCTGAATCTAATGTAAGACATCTTTGATTCTAACATAAGACATTTTTTTTATTCAAACTAGAGATACCTCTTTGATTCTCACCTAAGACATATTCTGTGAATCAAATATCTAACAAATATATAATTTACAGAGATCTTACCTAAGTTTTAAAAAAGTAAGACAACAACTGTGGTTGATTATCTATCTTTGAATTCAAATCTAAGACACATTTATATTTCAAAAGACATCAGTGTTCCAAGCACTTTTGTGATTCAAGCATGGCACACCTTTGTAACTCAAATCTTATGCATACATGTATCTATGATTCAAAAGCTATTAAGGCATTTGTAATTCAAACCTAAAACATCTATGATTCAAATGTAAGACATGATTCAAAGCAAAGACATCATTTAAGCCAAAGATATACCACTGTGATTAGCTCTACTGAACAGAGACCAGAAGAGCTTATATGAATGTCCATCTGTCTGGTCTGTTCTTCTGTTTGTCTATAAACAATTTTTTCAAAATGCTACTCCTCTTACAGTTTTGGTCTGATTTCAATATAATTGTTACACAAGTAGACTACACTATAAAGATACATAAGTCTATTAATCATTTTTGATTTCAATAAATGGTGTTGCCATGGTTACTAAAAAATAGAAACCTCTTTAAAATTCTTTCAAAAGACTAGTTTTTTCTACAGTTTAGTCTGATTGCAATTAAACTTGTCTCAATATAATGTTGTTGTCGTAGTTTCAAATCCAAGTGCTACCTTTTTGATCCTTTGTTACAAGTATAAACTTATAGAGCTTTAGCCTTGTCAGAGACCTCTTGTTCAAATCTTAAGAAGATCTTGAATCCCCCCCCCCCCAAAAAAAAGTGACACATCTGTGATTTAAACAAAGACATTCATAATTAAAACCTATAAAGATGCATCTAGGGTTTAATGATATACATGTACTAATATACTACTATATAGAAGTACACCGAAAATTGTATCGCATCGTGGTACGAAAACCAAGCATATAGGGTGAATTCACCATGCATCGGACACCCTTGCACTTCAACAAGTTCTAGCGATATTGCTACCGACCGAATATTATCAAAATGGAACTTAACATGTAGTATGTGGTTCAGATATAAATTTTTGACACAGTCGTGCACTATTTATTGAGAAAATATCATTAAAAACGATTTTTTCGAAATAAGTCAGAATTCACCATGGATCGGACAATATTCACCATGCATCGGACATACGGTATTTAAACCAGAAAAATATCATACCTTGATCTCGGTGCATTAAAATTAGTGATATCGAAACATTTTTATCTTTTATTTAAAAATTAACCTTCTAAATAAATTTGAATGACTATTTCGATCCACAAATATGAAGAGATTTTAATTGCATCACATCGCCTTAGAAAGGCTTTACAATGCTAGTAATATGGCAACTCGCGCCTTTGTTTCGTGGGTTATAATCATCTAGTTTAAGAAATAAAATGAGTCCACTTCTAGTCATCATATATCGATAATTTGTATTTTCACTGAAAATTTAGAGTTTCTATTTTCTATTTCCGTAAAAAACAGATGTCATTTGGGTTTTACATGAAAATGGAGGTGATTACCCATGCATCGGAAAGTGTCCGATGCATGGTTAATTTGTGTCCGATGTACGGTGAAATAAACATACTAGTTAAAAACAACTTTAAAAAATATTATACAAACATTGAAGTAAAATTTTTGAAAAATTTCAGTAAAATTATCAATTATTGACAAATTTTACCAAGGTCCTACCCGTTCCGTTGACGTCTATTTAAAAGAACGACAACTCTAAAAATTGCAAAATCGTAAAATTCTGGTTACTCCCCTTTGATGATGCAAAATATGACGTAATTTCAAGGCCATTCTTGTGGTATTTTTAACACAACATGAAAATAAAAATCGGCATCATTAAAAAGTTTAAATCTTCACCTTTAAGGAGGCTGGGGGGTCAACAAATTAACCACCAGATTTAACTTATTTTTTTAGATATGATATCTTAAGCTGTCAACTATTATTTGGCAAAGAAAAATTTCAAAAATTTTAGTTTTAAAATTTGATAATTTTCTATATCTTCATATGGAGCTCTTCTTCTAAAGGAGATCAATATAGTCTAAAAATGGCCACAACCCCCCAGCCTCTTTAAGACAGAAACAAGTAAAAACACGGGGGGACTCAGGTTCAATGAAAGTTTATTGCTTAAAGTTGTCCGAAGCAAGGTATGTGTCCGATGCATGGTTAACTCAACCTACCTGCATATTCCAATACATCACATCTTCAGTATTTTGTATTTACTGTAATTATTTATAATGAAGTGTTCATGAGAACCAGTATCAGTTATTAACAAAGATAATGTCTGATGAGTATTATTTCTTTTTAGTTGACCTTCATTCAAAACTTAGAAAATCTCCCAATTCAGAACAAAAAGAAACAATTCATATAAAAAGATATGAAAAAGACATACTGCAGTATTGTTATAAAGTGTCAGTGTATCATGGTACAGTGTATGTCATAAATTCATAATACACTTCAGCCGTTACACCTCTAGATGCCTCTGTTATTTTAAACGCTAAGACACATAAATTTTATGATAAAACAAAGATACACAAAAAGCATACCAGTACAGGTATTTTGGGTTAAAAATGAAAATGTATACTAGGTGTCCTTTTGAACCACAGATGCATCCTAATTTTGAAATATATGTAAGATTGTATAAATTTGCTGTGGCATGTTTAAGATTTTTGTGCTTTTTTTTCTCCTTTGTACTTTGGATATACATTCATTCCTCAATTCATAAATTATTTTCTCCACATTTAAGGACCCTCTATACATCTGTGCAAAATGTTTTTTGGACATTGAATAAAAGTGTAAATACAGCTAAACTTCGAAATCTCGAACACGGATATCTCAAATACCCCGGATATGTCGAAGTAAGGCCGCGGTCCCGACGAAATTTGCTTTATAAATGATCAAAATAAACCCCTCTATGTCGAACATGGTAATGTCGAATACACCGGTTATCTTGAAGTAAAATTGTGTACCCATTCATTAAAACCACTTGCGTTATCTCGAAGTCAGGATAATTTTCCACTCTGATGATCAAGTCCGTTGGGTAAACTGAACAGCCACCTGTCTGTCACGCACGGGTTACCTGTGTTCCTGTGATAAACAGATAATAGTGCGATAATAATAGGAGGTGTATGTATGGCTTACCTTGATTTTAATTATGCAAGCCAAAGGTTGTGTGTATTAGTCTTATGCATACGCCCGGATGACACGTTGTTTTGTAGCTGGGGTACATTTATCTTGATAATCGCTATTTATGCTATGTGTAATATGCGCGCTTGCATAGTTTATGCATATGAAAGCAAAAATTATAAACATCAAAGTGAAACAAAATTCTGTAATTTAATGCAATTAGAATTTATTTTTCGTGTATGTACGTGCAGAATTTACAATCATCAGTACACACCATCATTTGAGCATGTGTTGCAGTGAAAACGTGCTATAGTGCCCTGTGATTCAGTGTTGTTCCGTAGTTAAACAAAAGTGCGTGTTTCTTCTTTTGCATTTGATTTCATTGTGGTAAAATCTTTTCTTTTAACTGATTATACATGTATGAACATGTTTTTCCAATTAAAAAAAAATTGTATATTTCGTTTGCGTTATTCTGACAGCAACCGGTTTTAAATTTACAATGCATAGACGATATCAGGTTATGTATACATGGGAAAGGATGCTAGCGGTTGATTTGCCGGGTTGTTAAAAGGATTATACAACTGTGCATATTATACAAAGTATTGTTCTGTGAATTATAAAGAGGATGTTAAAATCTTTTTAATGCTAAATACATGTACATGTATATTAAAGAAATCGTAAACAGAATTTCAAACAAGAAGGAATTTGACATGTTTCTACTATTAAGTGCATGTTCACTGCACTAAGTTTATTTGAAGTTCATTAGAATTATAACCCTCGATATGTCGAACCCCCGGATATCTCGAAGTTCATCAATGGTCCCGTCAACGTCGAGATAACGAAGTTTAACTGTATTGAGCTTATCTATTTAATTTTCAATATATACCCCAGGAAAAATGTTCAAACACAACCAAGTATCAATGAACAGAAATCACTGTTGTTCTGTGAAGAAAATACATGTAAATAAGGTGTTCAATTAATTTATCTTGGCCTTTTAAAATGTTAAAAATACTTGTCAATGAATTGATTAAAAATTGAGTAATATACTGTAAATTTCAATTTGTTGAAATTTAGTTCTAAGGGCAGATCACTAACTGCAGAAAAATGCCATAGAATCAGAACTCTTTAGCATGCAGTGTAGAGAGGGTTCTTAAAATGTATCAGAATGGATTTTTGAAAGTTGTTTTATGTCATGGATGGATAACAGCTTATTTTTATGACTGACCTAATTTCAGGATTACGACATGTGTCCGACAACGAGAAGACCCACAAGAACCCTGCCCTCCGACGCACCAATCAAGATGATGATGGTGCAGTCATTTGATTTAATCTGTGATGAGCATTTTACAAAGCTCTGTACTCTGTTTGCACGACTCCAGCCTAGCATTAGTAGTTGTTGTATTCAATCTGTCAAATTCTATAATATTTGAATTTAACTATGTGCGCAATTTAACTTAATTAATAAGATACACTGGAAACCATGTCACTCTTTAGACAAAAGGCATTTTGAGCATGTTTGACTGTTCTAACACATTTGGAATCAATTCAGAAATTAAAATCTTGATAGATGTGCATTTTGGCTTAATGAAAATTGAGAATGAAAATTTCAAATCTCATGCAAATCTCAATTTTCATAAATACATGGTCCACTGTTGGCTAATCTCTTTTACTTAAATTATTCTGATCTCTTTTATTTAAAATATTCTGAACAAATATTATTAAAATTAATGAATATACAGACCTTATTGAGGTAAAGGAAGTTATAAAATATGAATTCAAATAAACTATTAAAATTGTTTCTTTTTCTTTTAGTGTAAATAAAATCAGTATTATTAAGAAGAAAAACGGGTGCTAAAAGGCTTATTTTGAACTCGCTTGACAGGGGAACATGAGTCATCACTGCATCTTTCTAACTTTGTGTTTATAGACACAAAACTCAGTTTACTGTTATGTTGTTTGTCTTATTTGACATTCTTTTTCTACCATCATTTACTGGAGAGTTCTGAAAAGGATATAGTACAGCAAAACTTGATTATTACAAACATGGATATATTAGTCAATTTATGGTTATAATTAAGTTAATAATTAATTATGGTATATGTCTTAATGGCAAAGTCATATAATCACATATATTGAACACAGGTATAAGGAACTTACAGATAAAATGAAGTGCATGTAATTGTTACATTCTTAATGAAAAAGAATTCACTTTTTTTCATTTGCATAAGAATTATTTTTTTTCAAAAGCAGATTTCAATGTGTCACATGAATTGATAAATGTTTTTCTTCCTTATTTTTCAATTAAAATTTGTCAGTAAATAGAAATATTTTACACATTCAGGACCTTTCAATTAAAATGAAGTAATTGTAATCACAATTTAAATGGATACTAACAATGATGATGAATAATGTAATTTTGAACTTCTGTTTGGTGACAAATTTGTTAGAAGATTTGTTACGAATTTACTGTAAATATAAAATTGGCAATAACCGAGTTTTGCTGTAATTTGAAAATGGTCAAATTTATGTTTCTTGTTGGGAATAATATGATACATGTAATTGCATCTGAGAAATTAACACAAAGTGATGACCTTATAAGAAAATTTTGTATAAGAAAGTATTGGTTTCCATTGTACTAGGAGAAATGAAAGCTAGTTGTGTATAATCAGAGTGCTAAAATATTCATCACACCTGCATTTTATTATTAGATATTAATTAATACAATTTATCTGATAATCGGTCTGCTTTCATACAGACTATTAATTTTAGATAGCATTGTGTTTATAGATTCTGACATCTCCAAGGGCAGGGCTGGATGTTTTAGTTTTGTTTTTTTTTTTGACTGTATTTTTTAAATTCCCTTTGTTAGCATCCATGCATCCTGTATACTGGAAACTAATATCATACCTCTGTAATTGCAACATATGATCAGTGAGTACTTCAATTCAGTCATAAATTGAGCCTATTCTTGGGGTTAATGTGCTTCCTTGCCCATCCTGTATAAAGAATCAGCAAAATTTTAGAAGGGATGGGAGGCATTCTTTTATATTTAAAAAGATTTTTCAGTATTTTCAGAAAAATCCTTATAGAAAACCCATTTACCTTAATAATTGATTTAAATATCTAATTAATTAGCCACAGGAAGAAATATTAAAAAATTATAATAAATTTGCCTATGTACCAGGCACTGGCAGATTAAAAGATGGGGGGGGGGGGGTTGTGACCAAAAAATATGCATAAGATTAATAAATCTATTTTTTGATAGATATTGGTTTTATTATAATTATTAATAGAGCTAAAATAAAGCTTCATCCAAGGGCTTCACCCCCTGGGCTTCCACCAAAAGCCCTGGATCCACTGCGGGCTATGAGACAGCCCTCAGACCTCCAACTTGTTGGGCCCTCCTTTTCAAAAATCCTAGATCTGCTACTGCCAGTATGTGTTTCGTGTTGGCACAAGTAGGAATAAATTTGTCACAGAAACTAACAACACTGACACCGACATCAAATTTTGTTGCAAATTTTAGTTCATGTAAAATTTATATTCGCTCTCACCATGTGTTCATAATTATAAATATTTAATTTGCTTATACTGATGGCTTAAAGTTATTCAGTTATCATATATATATATATATATATATATATATATATATATATATATATATATATATATATATATATATATATAGATTGAAAAAAATTAGAGAAGGATAGAAATCTATGCTGATAATTTTTGTTACATTTTCGATAAAATATATATGAAAATATTAACATACAAGATTGTTACATTGGGTCTTATAAACTCCAGGAATTATTCTGCATTTACAGTGTTACTACATACAGTGTTTTATCATGGTTCCTCAAACAGGTCAATTGTTAAAGTCTTACGACATAAATTTTATATGATCATAGCAAATACAATTTTATTCATCCACTTATAAGTTGTCAAAAATGTATCATCTCTGTAGAAAGTATAAAGTTTATTGTTCACTATTTTAAATCCTGAAAAAATTAAGATTTTCTTTGAATTCTTCTTTTAAGATAATTATTGTCAGAAAATTGTCATCAACAGTCTATCGTCTATGAAAGATCTCTGTCTGTTTAAATTTCCTCCATTTACAATGTGTTTAGTGCATTTACAAGTATCAACATTGTTTTAGTACACATAAGTCACATACTTGAGGGCTAAATTGCAGACTTTACAATTTCACTTGATGTCTTTTATTTCACTCAGGGGAACTGAAATTCTTTCATTCGGAACATTCTCTTTAAGTAATAATGCATGCTTTATGACAAGCATGTGTATTTCTATTAATAGGTGTTGTTTGAATGTTTAATCTATGATCATTTTAAAAGATGCCTTTCATTTTTTTATTCATGACAGACTTACATGACATGCAATTGATATAAAAACATTTTCAAAATAAAAAATAAAACATGGTAAATAAGGTAGGGAAAAAATTCTTTTGTTGGTGACTATATTTGTATTGAATTTTTCAGGTCTGAAGAAGGTCACAGATGACATGAAGACCCACAAGAACCCCACTTTGCGTCAAGGACCCAAACCATTCAAGGCATCTGCTCCTCAGACAGCTCCCAAACCAGGAAAACCAGCAGTTCCAGCACCAGTCAAAAAGAATCCGGCAGTGTTTGAACTCCAGGACAAAAGATGGGCTATTGTAAGTGTAAAGAACCTAGACATTGGTTCTTTTTTAGCTCACCTGAGCCAATTGAGCTTTTCTGATCAAAGTTTGTACATTGTCTGTCCTTGTCCTTGTGTAAACTTCATCTTTTCAAGAACCACTGGGCCAGAAAAAATTAAACTTATTTGAAAGCTACATTACATAGTGTAAATAGTTTGTTCAAATCATGACCCCCAGGGTAGGTTGGTGCTAAATTTGTTGAAATCATTTCTCCTGGGTGGTAGGGTGGGGCCACAATAGTTGATCAAAATTTTACATGGGAATTTTTTTCTCAAGAACAACAAAGCCCTGTTTGATTACATTATATGGAAACATTTTCAGGTAGTGTAAATTAAAATTTGTTCAAATCATAACCTATGGTAGGAAGGGCAATCAAAGTTTTGCATAGGAATTTAAAGGAAAAAAATCTTTTAAAAATCTACTCAAGAACAGCAAATCATTGATTAGGCCATAAAAAATTAATTAATAGTTTCTCAGGCCAAAAATTTCAAAATTCAATGCGGCAGGCAGATTCTTTTTTTTTTTTTTTTTTTTTTTGAAGCAGGTGTTATACCTTTTTTCATGTCAGTTGTTCAACAAAATGTTGATATCAACTGATTCTTACTTTTTGTTCTCTTACATCACTTACAATATGTATTCTACTTTAAATAATGTTATTCCAAACCAAGTTAATTCATAAAATCCGTATTAACCAGAAATGTATTGTTTATTTAATAAAAACGTCTATCTATTAGCATTTATGAAAAGGGGAATAACTCAATTTTCTTTTTTCAACTTGGAAAAATGGAAAATTGAGTTATTTCCCTTTTCAATATGTCAATAAAATTGATCAATGCAGCAGTGTTTGACCTGATGCGGCGGTGCCTGAGAAACTATTCATTAATTTTTTTTGGCCTTAGTCATATTTATATGGAAGCATCCTCAGGTAGTGTAGATTCAAATTTGTCCAAATAATGACCCCTTGGGGCAGGATGGAGCCACAATATGTGATCAAAATTTTACATAATAATATAAATAAGAAAAAAAATATTTAAAAAAAATCTTTCTCAAAAAACAGCAAAGCTATGATTAAACATATTGATATGGAAGCATCCTAAGTGTAGATTCAAGTTTGTTCAAATCACATTAGAAAATCCAAATTTACATAGGAATTTATTGGAAAAAGATCTGCTAAAGAATAGCAGAGCAATAGTTACTCAGGTGAGTATTGTGGCCCATTGGCCTTTTGTTTTGTTTTTTTTCTTCTTGGTGATAATTTGGTTTATAGAAGATTTATAGATTTATAGAAAGCAAAAGTACCTGCCCCTTCAAATAAAGTTATGAGAAGGGGGATTTATAGGAACATTAGTCCATCTGTCCATTTGTCTGACAATTACATCACATCAGGACTTAAAGTATGCAACAATTATTATTATTTGCAACAATTATAAATTATGATAATTTAAAGAATTTTATAAGTATATTAAAACTGCTTTTATGTTTAAATTTATAATAGGAATACCAAGAGGGTAATAAAAACCTTGAGGTTACAGATACCAACCTCAAGCAGACAGTGTATGCCTTCAAATGCAACAACTGCACCATCAAAGTCAGCAACAAGCTTAATTCCATCACGCTTGGTAAGACACATCAAAAACTCAACAGAGCCTCAGATTGTGTGAAATTGACTAGTCATTATTTTCTGATGTTTGCAAAAGTAGCCCAACTTTTATAGTGACTAAAAAAAGTATCTTTGAAAGACAATAATAGTAATACAGTCTACTTTGGATATATTGAAATTCAAGGGACCAAGACATTTTTTTTTCAATATAACAAAGTTCAAAATAAGCTATATTGGCTTACAAAGATGTTTTAAAAATCCTGATCCCTATCAAACACGTAGATAAACCTGAGGCAAAATTAGATGGATTGACAGTTAAATTTACAACACTTGAATAAGGAAATGAAATACAGTAGTTGGTTCATTAAATATTTATTTGTAAAGAGTCTGACATTTTTCAGTCTTGGTATATAATTTCCTGATCTTATTCTTTGTCAGATAGGGAAAAAGTTGCCGTACCCTCATGAACTCTAAGGAAAAACCAGTGTGCCGAATATTGTACATGCATATCATTGCTAATGTGTGCTCAGATTTATTACAAAATTCTTTGCAAATTTGAATTTAATTTAGATTTCACATATTAGTCTTAGTCAGATATTAATTTGTTCAAATTATCTAAAGACGATTTTTTTTTCTTTCTTTGATTTACCCATTTCCACAAGCGTATGATCAAACAGCTGTTCAAAAGTGCCATCAGTATGTGATCTGAGAGAAAAAAAAACCCTCAGTACTTTATTTAATGTAAAAGCACACAATGAAACATATTACTTGAGAATATATCTACTAGCACCTTAGTATCTACCTGTATAATTACAATGTCACCAACCGTGACAACTGGCCAGGAGGGCTTCAATATAACCATTAAGAAAACAACTCATCAGCTCAGTGGTCCGATAAATTACTTTAAAATAAAAGATAACTCAACATAATTGATTTCAATTTAACTGATTTTTCTAGATAATGAGAAACTGTGACTGAGGATTTAGGTTTGTTTCAAAATAAGCAATTTCTCAAAATAAGTGTCTTCAATATAAGTGGAGTAGGCTGTATAAGATTTACATAAAAGATTTCAATAACTCTGTCATCATTTTTCAGATACAGTGTAAAGTTATTTCACAGTTTATGATTTCCTTTAACAGACAGTTGTAAGAAGACTGCCATTGTCTTTGATGATGTTGTATCATCACTAGAGTTCATCAACTGCCAGAGTGTTCAGGGACAGGTAAGATTGAGTCAGGGTCATGATACAGGGCCAGGTAAGATAGGGTCAGGGTCAAAATTCAGAGTGTTAAGGGCCAGATAAGATTGGGTCAGGGTCACAGTTCAGAGTGTCCAGGTCCAGGTAAGATTGGGTCAGGGTCATGATTCAGATTGTTAAGGTCCAAAAAAGATAGGGTCAGGGTCAAGATTCAGAGTGTTCAGGGACAGGTAAGATGGGGTCAGGGTCACAATTCTTGGAAATAAAATTTAAAAAGTTTGTAATCTTCCATTGCTGATTATATGTACATGTATTCAAACACAATACAAGCAAATCTACTTGCAGGCTAAAAGTAAACTTTATATGATCATGTGATATTCAAGCATTTAGGGACAATCCACTCCTTGAAAGAATTATTACAATTGGTGTACACAACCTGTTCCCCTGGTAAATTGCAAAAAAAATGAAGTATAGAAATTAGCCATGTAGCATTAATAACACCACTCTTCTATTTTTTAATCACAACTTTGTGAAATTACAGGAATTAAAAGTCAGTGAAAACAATGTTTCTAAGAGGGGTCATTAAAATTTTATGAATCTCCATTGAAATTAATAGTTTTGTCCCATTTATGAAGCTGTAAGACATGGTGGGTGCCTTGTTGTCCAAATTTTGCAAAGGACAGGTGTTAAACTGTTAGGAATTCAACATATTCAAGGAAGAATTTTGGGCATGCCTGCACTCAGAATAAACTTTTAATAAAAAAAAAAAGGTACAAAACACCAGCTGTTTCCTTAACTGGTCAAGGGTATACACATGTCATTGTCCACATTATAACCTGTTAAATAATCTATTTAAATAAATTATCTAAATAAAAAAGAATTTTTATAAGTGAAGCTGCTAATCCTTACAGTTTATGTGAAAGGCTTATGAATGGAGGATCTAAAGTATGCCTAACGATTTCACAAAAAATCCATTCACAAAAAAAATTCTTCAGCAGTCAGAGGCCTAAGTTGCATTATGATTTTTCACTTTGCTGCTCTGAAAAAGGGAAAAAAAATAATAAATGAAAAAAAATCATTGGGATTCGGTGTCACTATAGCATCACAATAAATTGTGAAAATTAGTTTCTGCTATTCTGTAAATGAGTATTTACTTGAGAGAGAGAAGTAATGTGTTGCAATCTCTGTGAAAACGGTTGTTTTTCTTTGCTGCAAGTTTTAGAAAATAAATGGAATCATTATTGTATGATCTGCTTGAGTTTGTTAACTAAATTTCCAAAAGGAATTACTTTCAGAAAATACCAGAACCCATCAAAATGGTACTCATTTATATAAAAAAAAATCTGGCTTAGTGGAGAGAGTACCCCTCCAAGATCCTCCCTGCAAACCTCTTTCCAGAAATGTGTGTTGGCCCAGAGATTCCCCATAAAATCATTATATTACTTGATGTTACTTGTATATATGCTCTGCCTACTCCATATTTAATTAGACACATCTAAAATTCTACTCAAGCAAGCACAACATTCCAGATTTAACACACACAAAATGTGCATTTTTGATTACCTTTATTAAAACTATAGTGCAGTTTTCAGTGTAAATTTTCACATGTACATGTACTATACCACAAAGAAAACAAAGTAAGGGATACAGGTAAAATAAGTAAATAACTCGATTTTAAATTAATTTGATGAAATCAGAAAGGTCAGAAATAGGGGTCACGGAATTAAGCTCTGATAATAATTTAGCTTGCATATTTTAAACCAAAAAGAAAGATTAATTTGATAAGTAAATTAGTGATTTACAATATTTTCTTTTTGTAATTTTAGGTAATGGGTAAAGTTCCAACCATAAGTATCGATAAAACTGACGGCTGTCTGATTTATTTGAGCAAGGACTCCCTTGACACTGAAATAGTGACAGCAAAATCCTCCGAGATGAACATTCTAGTACCTAAAGGCGATGGAGATTTTGTAAGTAAAGAGAAAGATAATTACAGTTTGTTTTCTTGTTTAAGAGGACTGCAGTTCATTACTTGGTGCAGTTCTTTGTGTGCAAAAGGAATGGTGCCAAATGTGGTTTAATATAGATGTAATACATAGAAATGCACCAAATAGTTCCTAACTTGTATATTGTTGTTAAAATTTAAGTTTATAGAAATATACAAACAGTTTTTGAGTTAAGATTTTCGTTTATATAAGTTTTTTTTCACAACTTGGTTAATTCTTAAGCTTGTGATATTTTTCAATATAGAAAATAGCAATTTTAAAGCTAATAAATTAGAATTGATAAGAAGATATGGGTACAAGGCTGTTTTTGTACTGATTTCTACCTGCTGGTTCTGGTTAAGAAGGTTCTTGACAAAGAAGATCTGAGTACATTTGATGTTTGAATCAGTGTGTGTGCATTTCTTTTTCAGACTGAATTTGCTCTACCAGAGCAATTCAAAACAACCTGGGATGGCAAAAAATTTGTCACAGTGCAGACGGATATAGTGTAGGTTATTAGAAGCTGTAGGATAAGGAAAAGGTTCTCGCACCATTCCATCACATCATGGACCATGCTTTATATGATACCTGAAACTTCCAGATATCCAACCACTTGCTAGTGATCAATATTAAAAAGTAGGAAAAAAAAGGGAAAATCAGTATTTACTCTTTAAGATTGATAGTTTTGGGTTTCCAGAACTCTTTAAATGGTAATGTTATGATATATGCAACTGATTGTTTTGATGTTTGATTTGTTTTGCCTTATTATTGAATGGTAAAAGTATTTTGTTTAATCTGCATTATGATGCCGAAGACTATGAAAAATAACTATTTTCAAACTCATGATTATTTTCATTACTTTAAATATTGTCTTTGTTTTGCTGTATTAACAGTGAATATGATTTGCTAAGGGGATTTTCAGAGTGGAATGAATGTATCTGTGCTCTGAAAATTATTTGTAATTGTGTAATGAACAATTCAGAACAAATGGTGCTATGAACTAAGATATTATCGAAGTTTTTTGTCTCAGATTTTTGTCCATTCACGGCATAATTTTGAGCAAGCCAAAAGGGGAAATTTTCGTTACATATCTACCATTATGAATGTTAAGGCAAATCCATGTACATTTAGTTTCAGCAAAATATTTTAGTAATATCTTTCCTTTTTTTATTTTAAATTCTCATATATGCTTTACTCAAATCACTAATAAATTCATTATAGTATATTATCTTGTTGTTTTGAATACTGTATACATTTGAACTTTGGTATCTTGATATCCATATCTCAAATACCATGGATATGTCAAAGTCATGTGCAGGTCCCAACAGCATTTTCTCTAATAATGTTTAGGTATTTTACCTGCAATATTTCAGACTCCTGGATATTTCAAACCATCAGATTCAAGATAACAAGGTTTGATTAGTCAAAGTCAATCTGATTAAAATCGCATCTTTTTTATGCTCTGTAATTCTGTTAGTCGCTTTGTACAACGACTGTCATAACATTGGAGTATAACAAAAAACCGAATTTAATCAGTTTGAATCGAAGGAGATGTAGAAAGATTAATTGCTCTTTGATGTGTCTTTAAAGTATCCTGCCGAGATATTTACTTGGGATTGACGATCCTAGGACAGCCAAGATTCTACCTGTTGTGAACATATTCATAGGATTAGCCCAGAGTTAAAGATAAAAAACACAAACTTTTTTCAGAAATCAGCAATGTTTCTCATAGATTGATATTCAAAGAGGTAGCCTGAGTAATGTTTGCCAGGTAAAGGAGGACAATTTTGTAAGATTTTGTCACAATGTTAAAAGTGGGTGCAAAATTTTGTATAGAATTACATAGAAAACGACAAAAAGTTACATATTTAAGCACCAAAGAAAACATGCAATTTTTTTTTAATATATATATTTTATGGATTTCTTATGTCATTTCCATTCAAAATCAGTCAAAAAAAATATATCTATCCATGCATCAAATTTTTGTGTTTTGTATCCTTAAGACTTTCTCTCCACGTTTTGGGAACACACTTAGGATCAGCCCAGAGTTAAGACTCTCTCTCCACCTGTTGTGAACACACTCCTAGGATCGGCCCAGAATTAAGGCCCTTTATCTCCCTGTTTTGAATCAGCCCAGAGTTAAGACTCCCTCCCCCCCCAGTAGTGAACACATTCCTAGGATCAGTCCAGAGTAAAGGCCCTCTTTCCACCTGTGAAGAACACACTCCTAGGATCAGCCCAGAGTTAATTAAGTCCCTCTCTCCACCCCTGTTGTGAACACACACCTAGGATCAGCCCAGAGTTAAGGCCCTCTTTCCATATGTTGTGAACACACTCTAGCTAGGATCAGCCCAAAGTTATGCCCTCTCTCCATCTGTTAAGAAAACCCAATCTTAGGATCAGCCCAAAGTTAAGGTCCTCTCTCCCCCTGTTGTGAACACATACCAAGGATCAGCTCAGAGTTAAGGCCCTCTCTCCACCTATTGGGATCACACTCCTAGGATCAGTTCATTAGTCCCCTGGCTACATATTCTGAACAGTCCCAGATCCTAATCAAATTAAATATCCCAAATTAATGACCCTAGAGTTTCCTGGTGTCCTGCATTTGTCTGATTTTGTTTTACAGCTGATTAAAATCTACATTTTTTCTTTATTGATATGTCCTATGAAAATCTCTAGAAAACCAGGGTTTATTTTACCCCTTTTCAACAGACTTTGGCTTCCTCTGAGTGCCAGTTAGTTTTCAACTATTTTGAATATACATGTAAAGAAAATCTGTCAGCTCTAAAAACAACCCCTTTACGTAATTCAATACTAGACAGGTTAGAACAGACAATTTTGCAATGACTATGGTAAAACATTGTTAACTCAACTTTACACACTGCACACTGAAGAGTTTAATTAATTTCATGGTACTTTTATGTATAATTATAGTGATCTACCCTGTGACTGAATAAACTGAAATCGATGGTGTAATAAACATTTCAAGTATTCTTAATATTATTAGATGAAGTAATTGAATACTTCATTTGCATGTATTTTCCCCTTTAAGTAAGCATCAGTGATTTCTAATCTTCAATACTTTGTTGTCTTTTGAACATTTTTCCTGGGACAGAATGGCAGGTACCCTCTATTGAAAATGAAAGATCATCCAAGTATTTTCAATTTTATATGATATCTATGGCACGCCAAATTCACAAAAATGAGCTAATCATAGTTTCACAGTTGATAAACTAGGTTTATCGACTGTAAACTATAGTTTACGGACCGTAAACTACAGTTAACGATGATAATCTATATTTCACATCTGTAAACTATAGTTTACACGATAATCTATGTTTCACAAGCGTAAACTGTAATTAACACGGAAAACAGTCATTTGCTACTGCAAAATATAGTTTATCTGATAAATATAGTTTCACGATTTGTAAACTATGATTTACAACTCTAAACTATACTTAACAAATGTAAATTATAGTTTAGGGTTTGTAAAGTATACTTTACAGACATACATGCATAGCGCCATATTCACAAAAATGCGATAAACATAGTTTTACATTTGAGAAACACAGTTTAGGAACAGAAACTCTTATTTTGTATCGGAGATGCACAATTTTCTGTGAAACTAGATTTCACGACTCTAAACCATAGTTTACAATCAAAACTATAGTTAACAATAGTTTATTTTGTAAATTATAGATCGGCTAATCCTAGTTACAGCATTATAAGATTTTGCTATGTTACGACAATTACATGTTTATCTTATATTAATCTGTAAATATAGACATAACACAGTGCATGCGCAGAATTTATTTTTTTCAACAACCGAATTTTCTTCATACATAAATAAAAGTGGCCTTTTAAGGAACATTTACTTTTAATTAGTAAAAACACAACAAATATTTGAGATCTCTCTCTCTCTCTCACACACACACACAAATTCAAAGGAGGACGTTGAAACCCCCACAACCCCATCTAGATCCGCCACTGCATTTCCTCTCTTTCAGTTTCTTTGTTTTGGTGATGAGATGTGGCGGGAAAATGCTTGGCACATTGTAAAACGCGCTTCACCCTCCTCTGCTTGAGCAAAAAGCTCGTAATATTCTGTCTTTTAAGAATTTAAAATATATTTTTTAAAATTTCCCATAGGAAATGTATATATACACGACATTTTAAAACAAATACAATTAATCCCATTTAATTGATTATATATAACTCGGTCTTTGCTTTAGGTAATGCCCAACACTTGTCCTTAATCACCGCACTGATAAAACCTCTCGCGATTGGTGCCGCGAAATTTTGAATTGAAAACTATCGTTAACAGGTGTTTAGATTCATAAACTATATTTAACACCTCTTAACTATAGTTTACGAGTGTGAATTATAGTTTATGAGGATAAACTATGATTGGCAAATGCGAATCATAGTTTAGCTCTCAAAACTATAGTTTACGATAGATAAGTATAGTTTACGTCTGTTAAATATAGTTTTTGAGTATAAATGACAGTTAACTATAGTTTACGACTGAAATCTATACTTAATGAATGTAAAACATATTTTATCTGATAAATATAGTTTACGATTTGTAAAACTTTGATTAACAACTCTTAACTATGGTTAACAAATGCAAATTATAGTTTACATACGAGAATCTATATTTATCAGCAAAATCTTTGTTAACGTTTATTTACAGACAAATAAACATAGATTAGCATTCGTAAACTACACTATACAAGCGTTAAATATAGTTTTACAAATGCAAACTACAGTTAACGAATCGTTAACTATAGTTTACAGTTCGTAAACTATAGTTTACAATCGATAAACCTAGTTTATCAACTGTTAAACTAGGTTTATCTAATTTTTGTGAATTTGGCGTGCCATAGATATCATTTTCTAACATTTTTCATTAGTGTAAAATTAGATAGTAAAATTTTGATTAGACAGAAATGTTACAGGTTCGAATTTTGAGGAATTTCATTCTGAACATTAAAAATATCAATACCTATAACTATTTTTGCATATATAGTTTACAAAGTATTTTTAGCGTAAAGGTATGAGGGGTTATAAACAAGTGCGTGAACTAACGCCATGGAATTAAAACCGCTTGAGGTACATCTATGAATGTTTACATATTTAGTTAGCATCATCTTTTCTATCTATAAAATAAATTATAAATCATAATTTTTATTTTTTAATAAAGTGTTAATGTGACGCCTGAAAATACGGTGTATTTTCTACGTGAAAAAAACTCTTGATAGCATTTGTCATCCGATAATCACTTTAATTCACTTATGGGTGAATTTTTAAAATTACCACCAAATTGAAAAAAAAAATTAAAAATTCAACTAACCATAACATATTTTTCACTTATATCACCATACTGTACATGCATATTAGTAAAAAGTCTTGAAGTGGCAATAGAATATTCAATTGCATAAAAACGTCTCAAAATTTTTATTAGTAAAATTTCAGTTGAAGAAAATATTGCTACATCCTAAAAGACTATCTAAAATACATATTCAAAAGAAATTAAAGTTTTTATGCTTTAAAATGGTGTCAGGGAAATGAATTATTACAACTAATGTTGATTGAGTTTCTTCACTTGTATTTGTGAAAGAATTGGCTTTTTGATCGTTATTTTACATTGAAGTTTTTTTTTTAATTCTGGCTTGAGAAGTTTAAATATGAGAGAATATGATTCAATACATTCCCCAAAAATTACATTTTTGTCCATTTAAGTCAATTCCTTAAATCTAACCGAAAAGAATTTTGATTAACAAGTTTTCTTACAAAAAACACTAGATTTTGAAGTGATCCTATGTTGCATACCTGACATCCGATATGTATTTTTTTAAACATTGGTTTAAAAATTATAATACACCATAACTCGTTCAAAGTTTGTAAATCAGTTTTGATATTTTTTTTTAAATCATTTACGACAAGTTCTTCATATTTTCTAGACTTCAAAATATGACTACCGGTATTTGCTTGTGTAACATATATTTAAAAATGTATGTTTAATGATGAAAACTATTCTGTGAATGGACTGTAAAATGTCCAAACCAATATCTGTAATTTGTCGATAGACATAAGAATTTGAACTCCAAATACATGTAGTATCAAACATTATCTTCAATTCATTTTTTTAGTAAAGATAGATGAAGTTCATTGATAATTATAAAACAGTTTTGTTGCACTCTTAACTGCAGTAAAATTCAAAAG